AATAAAAAACCTCTAAAAAACGTAACAAAATTACTCAAATTAAAAAAGAAAACTAAAAATATAAAAATAAAAGCTAAAATAATACTGCCCCTGGAATATATCCTGTCCTAAAATATTAAAGCTTAAAACATTAAACCATGATCAACCAACACATCCACATCCAGTATATTTTCTAAAAAATATATACACAAGTGTCAGTGGTGCTTGCGTGTACAAAACCCAAATGCAGTTGCTAGGTAGTTGCCTATGATTTAGGTGGGTCATAGAGTTTAGACAAAATAGTAAATCTTTCCTTAGCAAACACCACTTATAATTCTTACGAACTCAAACAACCCATGCTTCTTTTCTATCGCGGCGCGTTCTTTAGTTGTGTACGATTGCTTTGGCCTTGAGCATGGTCAAAGACTGTCTGACTAATTTATAGTAACACAGAGCTGATAAAAGCACTGAAATCCAGAATAATGTACCATTTAAAAGTAAAATGTACCTTTTTTGTTTTTTTTGCAGCAAAGCTGAAAGACAAAATGTATATTGCAATTATGAATATTTGTCACATGGCTATTTAAAACATAAGGGTTATTCCTGTTTTGCAGTGCATTTGTATGTCCCCATCCACTGTTGTTAACTTTAAATAAAAGTAAAACTATTAAAAAATAATAAAATAAAATAAATGAGTTGAATGAAAAATAAAAATAAATGAATTGAATGAGAACAAACCAACAACAACAGAAAAAAACGTAAAAACAAAAATGTTAACCTAACAATAAATTTGTGATAATTAATAGTTAATGAAAGATAATAATTAATGAAATACACAATAATTATTATTATTATAATAATTAAAAATATATATTACAACTACACTATAATAATATATAAAGAATTTAAAAAGATATAGAAATAACACTGGCCCAATCATATATCCCATTATCCTAAAATATTAAAGATTTTAGAAATTTAAATTAAATTAATCTTTTATATTAACTTCTCAAATGAAAAACTTTTTTAGGGAATTTATTAATATTACATTTTGTATTAATCATATTAAAATGTTGTTAAACTTTTGAAATATTGTTTTAATTGGCAATCAATTTATAGATTTATCCAAAGCCTTTTAAACTTTTGTAATGCCCCAAGAAACAAGCAAAAAAAAAAAAAAATCCTCCAGGAAGTGACATTTATTACAAGTATTACAATGTATACAAGTATTAGCAATGGATTTAATGAATTTAATTTGGATTTGTGATTGAGCCTGACTAGAGCACATTTCTCTTTTATCAACATAAATAGCAATATCTTTAATATAAATACTTCCAACAATTACAAGCAATTTCACATTTTTAAAGTTCAGTTTCAAAAGGTACTACATGACAGAAATGATCCACATAACATACAACAGAGCCAGTGTTTTTTCTTAAAACATGGCTGCCAGATTGATTATGAAACAGGAAGTAGTGACTGTAATGAGAAGAGCATTAAACCGTTCGTTCCTAACCCTGAGCCACATTGTTATTCACAACTATGTGTGTGTGTGTGTGTGCGTGTGTGTGTGTGTATGTGTGCACATCCATCCATTGAAATTACATCCACAATGTTTGGTGTTCACACTTCTTGCTTATCTACCTCTGGAAAGGGCATGCCGTAGGTCTAAATAATGCATTACATCTTTAGTTTATCTTGGCCATACCGCAAAAGAGGTCTATTTCCCCACTGCCGGAGAAAATATGCTTGCAGTGCTGCTAAGGTGTCAGTGTGTGTGTGTGTACCTCTGAGACACTGAGAGAGAGAGAGAGAGCGATACACAGCAATATACTTCTTGTATATTTGGATCTCAGAGTTTTGTATTCTAGAGAGGAGTGAAAAACTAACTTGGAAAATGGCAAGAATAATCTTCAGTCATACACCTGCCTCTGCCCCAGGGACTCGTCCGTGCCAGGAAATATTTTTATTTGTATGCATTCGTCACATGAGGTTAGGTGGCTTAATGAAGTTGTGCTGGAGTAATCTGGGCTATATTAGCTGATCAAGTGTAGAAACGGTTTGGCCCACAATTCTTCTGTAATGAAAACACTATTTAAATATGCATTAAATCATAGAAAGAAGAAAGTTACTTAGTATACCTTTTTCCATTTCAACACTGCATATCAGTTCACTCCTCTGAGTAACTACTTTATCGGCTCTACTTTAATGTCTCTTTTATTACACGTCTTGTTGTATTTAAACACAAGTGGTGCCGTCTTGCGCAGTTATCGTTATCGTAGACTAAAGTGTTAAAGGAATAGTTAAAACAAAATGAATTAGCTGACATTTACTCACCCTTATGGCTATATAAATATGAATTTTTTTTCTTCATCAGAACAGATTTAGCAATGTAGCATTATATCAGTTGCTCACCAATGGATCCTCTTTGCAGTGAATGGGTGCCGTCAGAATGAGAGTCCAAAAGGCTGATAAAAACATTACAAAAATTCACAAGTAATCCACACCAGTCCATCAATTAACATCTTGTGTTTTTTAAAGAAACAAATCCATCATTATTTGAACTTTAAACCGTTGTTTCTGGCCAAATTATGAATCCATAATACTTCCTCCAGTGAATCCACCGTTTAGAACTTTGAAACTATTTTTTAACGGTGCTTAATCTGTGCATATTTCTCTCCTGATTCAAATGAGAATGAAGCAATGGTTTGAAGTTAAAATGTCTTGATGGATTTGTTTATTACAAACATGCAGCTTTTCACTTTTGTGATGTTGTATTGTGGTTTTTATCAGCTGTTTGGACTCTCATCTGACGGCACCCATTCACTGCAGAGGATCCATTGGTGACCAAGTGAACAAACTCAATCAAGTGAATCTACATTTTGGATGGGCAGAGTGAATTACCGTAATATTTTTGGAGTGTTCATTGCGTTTTGATCATCTCATATAGTTGAATAGCTTTCGACTAGATCGACATGTATATTGCTACTAGAAAGATGTCTTATTGTGAGCACTGAGTGCTGTAATAGACTCTAAATGAATTCAGATATGATTCCCATTTTCCCCTCACCTATACGTTTAAAAACATTGAAGGTTATGAGTAATGAAGTTTTGGTTATTCATATTCCACACACACTTGTGGTCTGTAGGGATTCTTGAACTTCCATAAATGTTCTGAGTTCTATTAAAATGTTCTTTCATATTATTATTTGTGCTGGTGCTTCTACCTACATTCGTATGACTTTTTCTTGTTATTGAAATGAATTCATCCTAAACAATCTTGAAGACCTTTTACATTTCCACAATGGTTTGACCTTCAGGATTCTCCAGTGCTCACACATTCTCCAGTGCTATACTTCATTCATGTATTCTACCTTTAGCGTGCAAACATGAACCCATCCACCTTGTTTTGCTCTTCATACAATAAAGCAGACACGCAAACACATAAAAACACACACAAACACAAGATTCATAAATTAGCACCCAGTTACTAAGAACCACTGCAGATAAAGACAAATGTTTCTGGAGCATCTCCTTCAAAATGATTAATTTAGCAGGCCTGTATTGTCACACCCTATATAATCGTGAAAAAGGCTGTAAAACTTTCTGCTTAAAACAAACCCGTGCGATAGATGGGCAGTTTACTCACAGGCAAGACCAACTCCATAAAACAGGCTCTCAAACAGACATCAATAGCTGTTAATATTTAATTCTGCCCATCCGATAATGCGTTTCACTGAAATGAATGTCTTCTTGCAGCCAAATACCAAATGCAGCGTGGTCTCCCTTTAGAAAGCCTGTGTGTGTGTGTTTTTTAGAGATATTCCCATTAGCAGCAGAGGGAACAATATCACCATTACTCCTCCAAGAGAAGGACTTAGATGCCGAGCCAAAGTTGGGCTTTTGTTCTGGGAAGAAAAGCGAGATGCTGAATGGTGGATAATGATCTTACCGAAGCCAGTCAGTCATCTGAGTTTAGCAGTTCTTTGGGTAACCTTGGTTCACTTTTCCTGTGTTGTTGTGACATTATCATATCAAATGGGTCATTCCAGAAACATATTCTTAATTAGTCTGAATACGTCCATGTGTGTTTTTGTGATATAAGCTGATAAAAGTGTGTGCAACATTGCAAGTCTTACCCTGAATAGGAAACCATAAATCAAAACCCTGAAATGGTCAACGTTAAATGAATCCTCAGGGTTTTCATTCCTGTTATCAATGGAAAAGTTGAATGTGCCTGAAGTTAAAAATCATCATGTTTACTGAAGCTAAACTTCTTAACAAATGGAAAAGCTGATTTAAAAATCAATAGGCTTCCTTGTTCAAGGGCAGATTAACTCCAGATGCAAGAAAAAGTTTGACACATCACTTTAAGAAAAATAGAAATAAATGTAATCAAATATGCAGAAAAAAAAAACTCACTGGATCTTTTAAAAAAATAATCTGCAGTATCTTTCCACCTATAAATACGAGTGAACAACTGGAACAATGCAGCTGATTTTGGCTGAGCCTGTTTGTTGGCTTGGTTCAAAGAATTTGTTGAATACACAGTGGATCTGATGAGTATATAGATGCACTGAATTGTTTATTCTCTTTGTCAGTGTTGTGTATGTCGGCCTTGATAAAGTGAACGTTGTATTTCTGAACCAATATAACACAAATGTACACATGGTGAACTCCAGTTTTCTCAGCCAGGGAATAACTATAAGAGCATCTCTGGACTAGTTGATCTTTTTTAGGGTGTATGGTAAAAAAAAAAATAAATAAAATGAAAAAAAAAAAAAATAAATAAAAATAAAAATATATACAGTGGGTACGGAAAGTATTCAGACCCCCTTAAATTTTTCACTCTTTGTTATATTGCAGCCATTTGCTAAAATCAGGCTTAAAGCATTTTCCACTATTCTGCAAAGTATGCAATTTATATGCATGTTATATAAAGACATGCGATTATTTATCACGCTTTCATCGCAGGGACAATTTAGATTCTTCATTCTGCAATAAAAGACACATAAAACAGTACAACACAGCTACATAAAGTCCTTTTAAAGTTTTATTCACTTAAATTTCTCAGTGTTAAAGCAACAAGAAAACATTTAGAATGTCCTTTGGTGTGATTTTCTTTTTTACACGTCAGTATATATACTGTATGTAAACTGATATTCTTTGATGCCAGCATGTTGCCAATATACTTTAGGAAAACTTCACAATCCAACTGAAGGAGAAAACAAAAGTGTAAATGAAATAAAATAAATTTCAGACCAGCATAATCAGATATTTAATTCAGTATGCACCTTGATTGAACGCACTAAAATGTTGCCCTTAAACACATTTCAGCAATAATACAAAAAAGTATATGTTCTACATTATCTTTACTCTGTCAAGAAAATAACTTCTGTATTAATACAAAAATTAAATACACCGATGACTGTCTAAGCACTTCATCTGTTTGGGTGAAAACACATCTTTGACAGTGGCCTCAGCAAACAGTCCGTCACATTTCAAAGTCATGGGGTTTTCAATCATATTTTTTGGAGGATAAGGGGGTGTGCCACATGAGTGTGACTAAAATCACACAGACTGAAAGGAAAACCAAAAAATTATATATACTGTACTAAAAAAAATATCAAGGGTTACAGAATAACATTCACAAAAGCACAGGGTGGAGGAAGGATGGGGCTTTTGACGTAAAGGACACTCTAAAGTTTGTTTTTGAAGGTGCGGTGGGACGTGTTGGCGGGACGAGCTCAATTTGAAAGCGGATCAAATGTGACAGTCTGAATAGATTTTCTTATATCCACAATGCACTGATAGCAAAGAATGCTTGTTTCTTTTCTTTTCTTGAGTCTTTCTCCATATTGTTTTTTTTTTTTCGTAATTGCCAGCTCACACAATCCGGACAGTTTTCCATCGCTCCGTGTCACAATAGCCAAAAGCAGTCTACAGCCAACATGATACCCAGAATGGCTCAGGTGAGGGGCGGCAGCTGGCTTTACTTGTACATGCCGCTGGCTGAACGCAGCTCCCGTTGCCTTGGTGATAAAGGGAGGAAAGGGATGAGTCTTGTCCGCTTCAATCCCTGTCGCTCTCTCGTTCTGATAGGGGAGTATCTATTATGGCTTAGTTCACATCTCTACTTCCTGTTATTTGCTTCATGAAGCATATGCTCAGGTAAATTCTATAAATAACACCTTGATGTTTTTTTGTTTTTTTTACTTTTAGATTTTTATATTGAATCGATTTTTATAAATACTATTTTTATTGATGTATTAGTTATTGTATTTTGTCTGTCATCCTCAGAAATTTAGCTTTGATATTTGGGCACATTCCACATGGCCGGCCGAGTGTCGGTGGGTCTGGTGTGCTGCTTATACAGAAGAAGCTGGACAGTCGGAGATCTGCCTCTCAAAGGATCCAGCAGATCTCCACGAAGAAAACGGGACCCAGGACGGACAGCAGCGAAAGCAGGATCAGCCCAGGGGGGCGGAGGGAAGCCTGGCCCGAGTCCGACCCTCCGCAGCCACCCGGCTCGTTCTCGCACCGCGGTTTCTCACACAGCAGGCCGGTGAATGCCGGAGGACACTGACAACGGATGTTGTTCACACACACGCCGCCGTTTTGGCAACGCAGAAGTTCGTTGTCACACACTCGGGCTGTGGCATCGAGAGGAAAAGGGTAAGCAGAAGACAAAAACCCACACACACACACACACATATATAGGCTACACCCAAACAAGTATGAACACTTCTATGATTACATAGAGCTCTATCCTGAGATATCATATATTCATCTATTGCTGAAAATAGACAGAACTAGTCAATACAAAGTGCAGGCAAAGTATTGATTGAAATGAATCACAAGTAGAAAACTTAATATCATTATTAATAGAAATTCATAAGTGAAAAATATTAATAGACTTTTTTTCTTACAGAAAATTGAATTCTTGAGATTTGATTAAAATGTTCCAAAAAGCATCCCTGCTCAACGGCCACCTCAAAATAAAGAAAATGTCTCTCAAGAGACCTGGCATTAACCCAAACCATTAACACGGCAGAGGTTTCTCCAAATCCCTGACAATGACTTGCATTCCCCTCAGGTGTATCAGGTGCATTTAACAACAGGCCAGACCTCGGACGTAAGCTGTTGAGCAAGCTTCAGGCAAACAAATTCCAGCGTAAACTAGCAAAACCAACAGACACAAATAAAAACGGATGAACAAGCCATGCCTCGCACGTCGTCATCAAAGCATTGTAATCCTGCTGACTGAAAATAATCATCTAACACACAAACGCTGACCTCTATCAGTTTGCGAGGAATGATTCTGAGAGGTCTTGTGCGACGCAGCATCTGTTTAATGGCTGTTACTGAGCTATTTTGGGCTGGACTGAGCAGACAGGAAGAGCTGGATGATAGAGAGAAGAGGTGTAACTCTCCCAGTCATAACAGACTGATTAGGGAGCTGGCAAAACTACATGGTCTTCAGCTTCTCTCTCTCCATCTGTGTGGATACGAGCTTTATGGTTGAGTCAGGGAAAAATGAGCCCCTGTTTGTGTCCATAATTCCCTCTGTTCATCACTGCCGAGTCTTTTTACGATGCAGATCAATCGTTCCCTAGTGAAAACCCACACTCGCACCACAAAACAAGACCCAGAAATTGTAGCTGCAATATTAACAAGCTATTTGAATTATCGGTGATTAACACGCATAAAGATTGAATGGGTTCAATTAGTATCAGTCTCATTAGTATTTGTAGGCAAATCATACATTTCTTAATGTTTGGAACAAACTGACACAATTTTGTTTAAATAATACTACTACTAATAATAATTGTATCAAGGTGTTAAGAAATATCAAATGTTAAGAAATATTTGTATCTATGTTAAGAAATAACAAATGTTAAGAAATAATAATAATAATAATAATTTACAGTAAATTAAAATGTATTAAATTATTTCTTAAATTTAACCAAAATAGGGCATTTACCTAATGTAACACTTCACTTGTTTCAGTCTTTTCTGTCCGATCTCGTAAGACTTCTTAAATCAGAGTCAAAATGTAAAGAAACATATGGGCATTATAACAAAGTTATAGTTGCCCTCATTAAGCTATTTGTGTTTGAAGTTGATGTAGATTAGAGTATCTAGATTAGATGAGTTTATCTAGTCTTAATAAAAGTATCTAACAAAAAAAAAAAGTGTAGGATTTACTTTTACACTATTTTCCCTCAGAAATTGCTAGTAAATTTCAAAGAATTCCAAAGAATTGGCAATAAATGGAATATGATGCAGAATTATAGTAGAAAGACTGAAACAGTATTTTCTTGTAAAATGTACTCTAATAATATTTGCTTTATTTACAACTTTCTTTTTTATTTTTATTTTTACAGTGCCTGTTTTTTCTCTGGTGTAGTCATGACCTGACCATCAACTGTCCCTGAGCACATTTTAGCCTGTCTTGTCTGCCCTTTAAGAAACAATAAAGAAATGATGAATCAAAAGATAGAGATTCTTTATTGATTCAGTGTTCTGGATAGGATATTTAAACTCCTAAACTGCACAAAACACGTTTAGACTACTGTAGATGTTTCCTATTATAAATGAATTGATTCTTCACAAGTGTACGGCATATTAACTGTTTGCAATTGAGACATCAATGTAGCCTTTTACCAAACTGTTCATGAAAAGGAGATTGTACAAAACGAAGTAAGAGGTAATGAGTGGATTGTGTCTGTGGAAAGAGTTTTAGAACACCTCCTCTTTGAGGGAAAGAGAGCAAATTGATTGATTGCCTTTTCCACAACTGTGGCCTTTGGCAAGAGTGTTCTTGTGCTTCATCTGAAGAAAGACTTAAAAGAGGCACAGTTTTGCAGGTAATGTATCTCTCAAGAGTCTGGGTCTTTTTGCTTCACCCTGCGAGTTCAACTCTTTCTGTCTCCTCGGTTTGATATCCCCTGATGACCAGGAAAAGGTGCTGAGGCAAGAAGAGCCGTGTCAGTGATTTATAGCTGTTATGGGTGCTAACAAACACCTTTACCTTCCAATGGAGGGGGGCATGGAAACTATTTACTCTGCTGTTGGTCCTACAAACAGTTTAACCTCTATAGCCTACGCCACGCTCTCTAGAGCCCATGCACATCTAATAAATATAAGCACCTATTTTAAGAGAGCAACAGAAGCTCTGTATGTTTAAAGCATGTGCACTCACAAGCAGGAAAAAAGTGCTCAACCTCCAGTTCTGCATTTGCAATTTGCTTGCATGTAAATAAACGGTAATAAGAGAATAATTTGAGCAATTTATTGGGTTTGCTTTTGATAAGAGGGATAATATTTATTGAGAACAGCAGTAGATTGCATGGAGCGCTGGGAAGATTAGGCTTTTTTGAAGAAAGATTTGAGCTTTAATTGCATACCGAAATCTGCATACAGATGGACGGGATCAGGAAAATGAGCCTTAGATTGCATTTATCACACACATTATGGCCTTTGGGACTTTGAATGAGACAAATGCTCAAAACTTAAATCTCTTGTCTAGGACGTCTAACGAAAAGCGTCTGTGCTGATGACAACATCAAATTAAAATGGTTATGGTGCTTTACCTTAGTGCATACCATTGGCTGAAACAGACATATGGTAATGCATCTTCATGCTGGTGAATGATGGATGTGTATAAAGAGTCATGTCTCTTTATTTCTCTCCAATGTTTCCCAGAACAGACAGTAATGGGAGTGCATTTGCCACATGTCACTATTTGTACCAAACGCTCTGGTTTATTTTAATCTCGTGACGTGTGATGTTGTGAATTTCTGCTTCTCAACTAAACCAGCCTTGTAGTGTTGGGTCTAAAGCTACACAGAACTCAATATACACATATTTACTGGACTGTCCATCTCACATTATTACAGCCAACGTCCCAGTGTGATATCTGAGGCTTTGTTAAATGTTGACCTTTGATGCTGGAAGCCCATTGAAGAATACAAATCAATGCTTGACCTATGGATCGTTTCAACCACAGCGCTTGGAGCCAAGAGAGAAGAACCAGCCATCACAGTGTGGCCATAACAGCAAACAGCCAGAGAAAACAGCGCAGGCGTCAAATGTTCTGCTCACTCCAAATATTAGCTCAGCTGCCTGTGTTCATCTGCGCAAATGCACGTGCATGGGATTGTGCCCGAGGATTGTTTGCATGGTTTATCTCTGTGCTTGAGAAAAATTCTACAATAATACTATTAATAAAAACAATGCTAATAAATGATTAGAATAATTCCCTCAAAATGAATTCTGCAGTTAACCCACTAACAAGGCAGCATAACAGGTGTGACTGAGCCTCGGATGGAAGTCAGTCCAAGTTTTTTTTGTTTTTGTTTCCAAGTGCTGTAAGCAAACCAAGCTGCTCATTCCCGGGTAAGCCAAAGAGAAGCAGCAAACAGAGAATATAGAAAGAGGGAACGAAGAAGGGAGGGAGGGGTAGAGAAAGAGAGACGCAAAAGAGAGCAGGGGACTGAAGCTGCAGGTTGGGTGGAGGTTCTACTTACATTTGCAGCCATTGTCCCACAAATATCCTGGCAGACACTCATGGCACTTAGCCCCTGTTGCTCCCTCCTTACATTTACAATATCCTGTGCCATTACAGCGATCAGTGTCTGAGCCAAAGGGATTACAATTACAGTCTGTAGAAACAAGACACACACATACACACAGTGGGGAGATGGGGTCTGCGGTCTTCAGCCTCAGATCAACTCATGAATAAAGTCCCTCTGTTTTCAACACAAAAAGCATTTTCGCTCAAAATGGGCCTCTGCTGCCTCCTTCATGCACATTGCTAGTCTACAAAGGACAGATTTATAACCCCTATATCTGAATATTTACCTCACATCTACCATTTCAAAGGAACAAAATGAGAAGCATCAGCTGGGGAAAGTGAGTGAAGGTGGAAAATGGAAACAATGGCATTTAGTTTAGTAAGGAAAACGAATGTTTGTGAATGTTCAACATCTTGGAAGTCCCATAATGCAAAAGCGTAGACCATTACTGAGTGACTGCACTGTGTATTCTGAATAATTTTCTGAAAACATATTTCTATATGTAGTTTAGCATCAAAAATGAGTGGCATGAAGGAAGGGAACATACAAAAGAGAAACAAATGGCTCTTTTCCACTGCGTGGTACGACTTGGCTCAGTACGGCACAGCACGGCTCGGCTCGGTTTGCGTTTCCACTGCAGTTTAATATCGCTAGAGTGGGCGGGATTATTCACATGTCGTTATAGTTGCGCCGCCTCTACTGCCGCGACTCCTGGAAAACTTTTTAATTCTGCATCGCCCCATCAAGCTCTCGCTGGATCCACTCCTCTGCTATCAACGAGAGGAACGTCTGTACTTCCTCAACAGACAACGAAACGGCCACTTTTTGGTTGTTAAAAAAGGTGCGCTCATTCAAAACAGTTGCGTTCGATCCTTCGCTGGCTGTGCTGATTTAAATCTAGCGGTTCTGTTGTGATTGTGTTGCAAGTTCAGTGACGCAGGTAGTGACGATTCTCTACGGCCAATCAGTAATCAGCAGAGTTTACACGTCACATTTTGGTAATGGTACGGTTCACTTGGAACCTCAACCGAGGTGGTACTAAAAAAAGTACCAGGTACTGTACCCAGTGCAAAACCCCCCCAAAAGTGAACTGTACCGAGCCGTATAATGCAGTGGAAAAGCGCCAAAAGACAGTCACATGGTTTCCTGATTAGCCAATTCGCTTGCTGCCCATAAGTGCATTCAACTCAAATACTGATAACACTGATAATCATAATTAAATCCCTTGATACTACAGAAAATGTCCTTGAAGTCTACATTAAAGGGTTAGTTCACCCAAAAATGAAAATTAGCCCATAAATTACTCGCCCTCAAGTCATCCTAGGTGTATATGACTTTCTTCTTTCAGACAAATCCATTGTCTTTGATCTTTCAAGCTGTTTAATGCCACTCAGCGGGTGTTGCATGCATCAGTCCAAAAGAAGTTAAATAAAAAGCGCCCATCCATAAAAAAAAGGTCTCACATGGCTCCGGGGGGTAAACAAAGGCCTCCTGTAGTGAATCGATGCGTTTTTGTAAGAAGCGCCAACAGTTGTACACGGAAGCAGCTCCGGGCGGATGACGTATGAGGTCAGCTTTGCGCATGCGCCGCTCAGAAGTGACGAACGCGGAAGCGCAGGGGAGAGATCAAAACAAAACAACGGTCATGAATTAGAAGTACAAAACGAGGATTTGTAAAGAATGTCGGAAGATTTCGATATAAGCCAAGAGGAGATTGGTCTTCCTTTGCTAAAGTAAGGAAACTTTGCTTCCTTTGCTCCTGTTAACAAACGTTGGTTTTCACGAGACTCACCGGCGCATGCGCAACGCTGAACTCATACGTCATCCGATTCGATTCGCATCGATTCGCTACAGGAGGCCTTTGTTCACCCCCCGGAGCCGTGCGAGACACTTTTTTTTATGGATGGGCGCTTTTTATTTAACTTCTTTTGGACTGATGCATGCAGCACCCGCTGAGTGGCATTAAACAGCTTGACAGATCAAAGACAATTTTTAATATAACTCCGACTGGATTCGTCTGAAAGAAGAACGTCATATACACCTAGGATGACTTGAGGGTGAGTAATTTATGGGCTAATTTTCATTTTTGGGTGAACTAACCCTTTAAATGGCATTTGCATTAATTTTAATTTATGTATTTCTGAGTTAAACAAGATACTGATCGGAAAAAGGAGTGTGACTTGATTTTATCCAAGTAAATAGTCAATTTTGATTTCATGTTGACTATAAGTTTTTGGCAATGTCAGTAACTTTCCAGGTCATGGATCACCCAAAGACATCTGGCCAATTAACTGAGGTCTGCTTATAGTGCTGAAGTGCCATTCAAAACCTGCATTTCTTGGATATCCACAAAGACGACAAATAATTTGAGCAGATGTTGAGCTACTGAGGGGTATTAAATATGCAACAGTTTTAATATTATCAATTCAAAAGAGAATCTGATTAATTCTCTTGTGCTTTCTCAGAAGAACTTGGACGTGTAGCCTGAAACTCTGATTTGTGTAATGGCATTTCTGATCATGACTGTACATTTGTTTTTAAACATTTCTTTTTTTTTTTTTGAGGAAACAAATTATTCCTTTTAAAACTCCTATTTCTTTTCAGTATAAATTCATCAGTGTTTTCAGATGCCTAGCACAACAGAACACTTTACAAGTGTGAACATAGTCTTAAGGTTTTGCTACAGAGCAGATACGCGTTTCATTTTTAAGTAAAGACATTAATGCTTATTAATTATTAATGCATTGCTAAAACACTAACATAAACCTCTCCCAAGATGCACTTTTCATATATTTTGACAGTTCTGTGGCCCTCCTGTGACTACAGATATTGCTCGGTTGAAGTGGAGGTCAGAGTCTGTGACCTGTAACACCTAAAGATGTGTGTGTAAGTCACACAGTCGTGACCTGCTCCCAGACACCTCTCTCGCTCTCTTCTTCCTCTTGCTTCTTCTTTCCGAGAATGACATATGCAACACGCAGCACCTTTTTCTGTGGGTGCGAGCCCTCCCAGACACCTCACCGGGGAAGTGGGATGGCAAACATCACCTCTGTCTCACAATGACACCTGTCTGGCTTTTGTTTTTTTGTTCTCTGCTCTACCTGTTTCTTTTTCTTTTATTGGCTTTGTAACAAACATTACAAATTACCCTATTTTTCCCCTACAGTGTCTTCTGTCCTAATTTGCTGTGGATCATCACATCATACTTGCTGGTTTTGTAGTCAAAGACTGGAGGGTCAACGTGGAGATCAACGTGACTTTGCTGACGCACACAAGCATGCGTGAAGAGACTTGGGTGATGACAGAGGGATGGACAGACACAGAGAAGGGAGTGAGGAGATGGAGGATGATGGAGCAATAGAAATAGAAGGCCAGATGGTAGATTTGGGGGGAGTGTGATGTGCGATAAGCCGTGTTAGTGGATGGGAGTGCTGGAGGACTGACCTATGCAAACATTCTCATCGTCCAGCTCTGCTGAGGCATTGCGGTAGTATCCAAGCTTGCACAGCTGGCAGTGCTGCCCTCTAGTATTGTGCTTACAGCTCACGCAAATGACGGTGTTTAGCACCTCGATGTAACTGCAGCGATTGGAGTGACTGAAACATTCGCAGTCTTGCAAAAAGAGGAGAGAGATGTGGCTGTGTTTAGGGTAAGTGTGTGCGGGTCACGGCGGCGCTGCAGAAGAGGGGCACCATGGCATGCGAGGTTTGGATGGTCTGAAACAGCAGAAGCGGTGTTAGATGTAAGATCACGTTAAGATGAATGGAGAAGCGGCGTTGTTATTAGAGAGTTGGCCTCGAGCAAACCACAGCGATGGAGAGAAAAATAAGAACAGGAATGTTACATGGAAATCAAACACGAGCAGATGTAATTTTCAACCTCGGCAGAATGCGAGTGCACGTGCGATTTGAAATTTACATCCGCTGTATTTATATTCTATTGCTCATGGAGAGTTGTCTCACAGAAATGATGGAAGGGTGTAGTGAAGGAGCTGGAACTTTCAAACACAGGAATAAAACAATGGCTTCTATTTTCTATGCCCCCGAAATAACAAAGCATCTCTTAGGTCGAAAACGGGTACACAAACTGTATCCTCTCCACAGAACTACTGCCATAAAAATGAAAGACAAAGCATTTTTTTCAGTATTGATTCTGTCAGCTCCAAAATGAGAAATAGCACAAGCAAATCAGAAATAACTTCCTATCTATTTCCCATAGCCTCCAAAGAAACCAAACAACGTTTATACAGGACCCGCAAGGAGTCTGTCCTAGTTTCAAAGTGAAGTTGAATCTCGATGCTCGGATGCTGCTCTTGGCATAACATAACAAACTGATGGCATCACCCTGACCTGCCAGGGATGCTTGGTCAACCAACTGGCCAGCACCTTCAACCCAATAGGTCTGACAAATCTGAGTTACGCTCATAAAGCCTCCACGTCCCTCCCTCCTGAGATGATTCCAGGGCTTTCGGGAGAAATGGAGGGCTTCTCATTATCGAGATCTGGATTGAGGTCAGGCCTCCTCTGCAGCCTTTTCCCCCATCCCCCGACTGGAGGAGTTGAGACAGACACATCTCCTGTAAAGCGATCTTTAAAGCTGCCTGGATATGTCAATCATTCTGCCTGGAAAATGTTTTAGAGGGCCCACTTTAACAAAAAATTGACGGGCTTCTCGTCTGTGAGCCACTGCGGAATTATATCAGATTCAATGTTCTCATCCACACTCGGATCAGCAACACTGACTGTATATAATCCGTTAATCTGACAAAGTCAACATGATTTGAACACTTCCCTCCTGATTCATCAAGTAAAATCTCCTCAATTTTCAAAGACTTGGGTCTCTGAAGCATTCGGTACAGAGCTTCCATGATGATTCAGGATGGAGCTAATCATAAAACAAAGTAAACAATTGCACTAAAATTACTATATTTGTACTTGATACTATGCAAAGTGGGAATAGTAGGGTCAGGGGTAGGTGCTCTGCAAGTACAGGAGGTACAAGACTCACTCTGGATTCATTCAGGGCATGGTGAAGGGGGTAATTTGGACAACATACACTGACACAGAATAGTGAGAGTATATGAATCGAGTCCTCCTACCTCTTTTACTGTTTGCAACTTGTACAGAAGGAACGGTTGACAAAGCAACTTGAGGAGCTACTAGACAAAATAAAGACAAAATAAATAAAATAAAACATATTAAATCAACAGAAACCCAAATGATGATATGAACATTCCAATCTGTCTGTACCAAAAGCATGAAATTGACAATAAAAAGAAAATAATTTAGACTAATCCTGTTACTCTGCCATAAATGATAAAAAAGATACAAAAATAACACAAATTTGCACAGCGCACGTTCCATTCCCTGCAGCTGCTGTGGTTTGGAAGTTTTTGATGGCTTTAGAAAAGAAAAAGCCTGCATTGCTGGCAGAAACTGCTCAGCTGGCATTAGTGTAGTTTAGCTTCCCAGGCTTCTTGTGTGAGAGTGCATAAGGCTTAGATCCCCACGTCCCGCTGCCAGTCCGACACAGCAGCAGAACAACAGGGCTCAGAACAATCCCAAAGTTATCAGCTCATCGTGCAGTCACAAAACAACCAAGGGGCAATGAGCATTATGTCCTTTACTAACCTCCAACCCCCAATTCAATCAAAAACGCTGTTTACTCAGTGCCATTGTTTGCGTGATGCTTCTTTTTGGACATCTGCGCAATGGATTACCTTGAATCAGTCTACCTAAAACTGCCATGAAAACTCCCCAGCAGGGCTGAGAAAATATTGAGAGGGCCCAAGAGAGAGCGCCATGCCTAATTAAAATGGAGGGAGTAACGCTTTAAATCATCTGTGTGTGTCTTTATGGCTGTTCAGCTTGTTTCTTAGAAATGCTGATTGCTCAAAAATCTCAGTGTTCAGACATGTCAGAAACTGGTACGTAAAAGAGAAAAGGCAAAAAGAAGACGTTTGTCCATCTGGAATGATTCAGTACAACAAATATACAAAAAAGACTAGCTGTCAGCAAACTTCTGCTGAATCTGTTTCACTGTTTTACATCAGCCTAAAAATCGTTCTGTGAGTCAGATCATAGGAAATTGTATCCAAGTTAAAAATGTACCGTACCTTGATTTCGGTTAGCGACACCTAGGGATGAAATGTTCTGCCGAACTGCATGCATACAGGAGAAATCAGGTGTTAATTGAATGCACTGGCTGTCGGATGTCAGATGCACTAGGACGGGTCCAGTTTGGACTCATGTACACATAAACAGCTACACACATCTCCAGATGGGTCATTCATAAAGTTGAGCTGATAGGCTCGATGAGAACAAGCAACCAATAGACCAATCACAGATCATCTCTAGAGATTGTATGTAATTGAGCTGTGTTTTGTGGCTTACTCTATATTAATACATGGGAATGACGGCTGACAGTGATGAAGGGAAATCGTGTCTTTCGGGTGTGAGACTGGATTGTGCGCATGTGTATTCATTGTTGCTTGAGATGCTTGTTCAATTTATCAAATTGATTCATTTGAAGTGTGGTTCTGTATGACAAAAATAGCTAACATTTGAAATGACGATTTGATGGGAATATCCTCATAATTACATACAATTGATTTCCTTAGAGGCGGAAATATTAGGGCTGGGAATGGAGCAGTCTCGTGTCAATCTCAGAGGCAGCACTAAAGTGAAAGGACCAAACCAAACGCTCCATCCATCCAACACAAACATGGTTAAGTCCCTTATGTGCTGCTTCATGGTTGACCTCAGTGTGTGGGCATGTAAAACGAGGACAGGGTACAGGAATTCCAGTGAGGACACATCTATGAATTTGATTTTTTTTTTTCACCAGGGACATAGCATGGTGGTTGGGGACTCGGAGAGCATGCACACGCAGGTTACTGACAGAGGAAACCCATCTTGAAGACCCATTATGAAATTGCCTCTATGTCCAATCACATTGGGAGAAATCTCTTTTTCCATGTGATTTGGGGAATTCCGTGAACTTCACTATGAGTTTTCAGTTCAAGCTCCAGTAATACTTCATGAAAGAAATTAAAGATGAAAAGCAAATAATTTCTGTAAGATTAATAAGATAATGTGAGTTCAGGGTGTCAACATCATAAAGTGCTTCTCTTTCTTTAGATTAGTACTTGGTTTATCAGCATCATCTCATCAATAAATTTGCTTTGTTTGTTACTCAATTTCATAAAAAAAATACAACTATTTCAAACAATTCTTAGCCTTTAGCTTTCATTTGTAAACTAAAAAACATAAATGCACAATTTGGATCCATCAAACTAATCCAATATTTGGAGAAACACTTTTTCTACAACCCTTTTTAATGGAAGTTCTCTCTTAATTTTTGAATCCAGTGAGACACAAAGAGTGAGCAAGCAGCAATGGACAACCATTGGAGTCACTATCAGTTTGGAACAGATCTGACCTCTGAGTGATGGACAAATCCAGCTGTCCTCTCTCATCACATTCCATGACACTCGCACACACAGAAGCCTCTGTCGTGATACCCATGGGACCACGCTGAGAGTTTTATTATTGATATAAAATGTGTTCCGTATTAGCAAGTGATTAGGAGCAATGCTCATCGCATCTGCTCTTCATTAATGTTTTTGTTAGTTAAAATTTGGATAAAAATTAGATAATGAGAAGTGACAGATTTTAATCAATGCCATCCCAGTAATGAAATGCAATCCTGTACAGCTAAAATCTCATCTTAAAATATTAATTTTGCTCTAATGCCTGCATTAGGCAATTCTGGCAGGCTTAATAAACTTGAAATAGAATTGGGAAAAGTCAATAAAGAATTCAATTACCCTCAAGCAACTCTGAGGAAACTGCAGTGTTTTCTTTTTCAGTCTCGGGCATAACATCTCCGTCCTCAAGGACACTCTTTACAAGCGTTCTCAATAGTTCCATGAAGGAAGAGAGAATGGTGTTTATAATTGTTATAGTGATGGTCAGAGGATGGTTTTGGTACTAAAGTAACATCAAGCTGTTTGGGACCCTGGTTGCATTGTGAGTGTCACCTCTTTGTGTCTTTCTGGATGGAGGTGTGTAAATTCACCATGAGGACAGTGAGTGAATGTTCATGGCATGGCGTTTGAATAAGAAATAATGGAGTGAGCCCATGCAGAAATGGCACAGCACAGGCCATGCTATACGGCCAAATACAAAACACACTTGGAGGAGAGCAGAAGGGAGTGTCCACTTGGTTTGACATACATTTCTGATTAAAAGTGCAACTTTTAGTGCAAGATTTTTTTTTCTGTGTTCACCAGTTTCAGAGGGTCAATGGTAACATCAAACAGTAATTTATGTATAAATAAGACTCCATTCACTCTTGTAATAATTCCAATGTTCATTATTGAATATTTGATTTGTGTAATGTTATTCCATACACCTGTGATATATTATACCTATAATATATAATTTATAAAATATATAATATATATTTGGATATATCTATCCAAAGAGGAAATGTGTATATTTGTCCTGGACCTAGGAGAAATAAAGCGTGGAAATATTCAGGGCTCTACATGCATTCTGACTTGTTCAATATCTCTGTGGCTCCAGTTTTCACATTCAACCTCTCTGCGCCTGTAACTCTATCTGTCTGCTGGCTTATGAGGCCCCTGGCAGGACCAGATAATGCAACATAGACCTGCATTTCTCATATTAAAATGATCTTCCCCTCTTTCTACTTCGGACAAGATCCTGAACTGCTTTACAGCCCCTTTAGCATTTATAATACATGTAATGCATACACAGCCAGCATTTGAATTAGTCCATAATCTTTACTATAGAAAACTGCTGTTTTCTAGAAATTAATTTAACTCAACCCAACTCTAATTAACTTCCAAACCAATCAGATTAGGTTGCACAGTTTATATCCGATAGATCTAATGAAAATCAGAAATAAATGTTTAACCAGAAGTGGACCCGTGTTGAAGTGAGAAGCAAAGCTGATCATCTCGCACTTCCTGTTGATATAGATCTATGAGTTTGTTTACTTACTAACTGGACCAACACTATTTGGCAGACCTGGAAGAGAGATGAGAGAAAAGATTATATTAGCACCAGTAAATAGCACTAGCAATACAACAAATAGCAATTTTAAAATGTAATAAAAAGCAATAATAATAAACAAAATACTAATATTTATGTCTATTAAAATATTATTTTTATACAAATAAATATTAATACAAATATAAATAAAAACATCTACAATGCACATAAAATGTAATCTTGTTTTTTGTGTCAAATAATTGATAACAGCTGAGAACATCTTTGCATTGTTTTTTTTTTTAAAGAGCAAATTCAAAAGAAAGAACTTGTAGTGTTTTATTAGCTTTCTTAATAAATGAAAAATAAATAAATAAAAGGGGGAGGTGCTATGTTTCTCAATCAAGAGGACCATTTGGAAAACAGTGAATGGAGGATTTCCTATACGTTGGAGAACTCTTGGAGACAATGCTCTGGTGGCAGAAAGAGAACTGAACTCACGCCCCTGCCATGTGCAATCGATCTAGTGTGCGCCATCTAATCTCCCTCCCTGATCTCTGCTTCACAGGGACAGTTAAGAGCCAAATGTATGACCTTTGGAAGGAGGGCTGAGAAATGACTAGGAAAATAAAGGCTGCAGGCACCTCCGATGAACACATGTGACGACTGAGTCAGAAAGATAGCAAGAGGGAGAGGAAAGTGGATAGGTCAACCTGCACAGGGAAATATAAACCCTAACATCATGCCCTGGTATTTAGATCTGCCAATATAAAAGAGAGACTTTCCTTGAAGAAATCCTGCTCGATTTTAATTTAAGAAGTTAAGTGAAAAATCCTGCACACTTCTCTGACTTGAATCTTATATGCAAACTATAGCACATGAGAGTTTTAGTTCCATTTTCACACTTTCCGTCCCCTAAAAAAAATTCTGACCCCCCATAGCACCCCCTTGTGGACTCCAGGGGTGCCCATTCCCCAGTTTGAAACCCCCTGCTTTAGAGTAAAGTTTTACTGTCTATATTTGCCAAATTATATCAACTGTGCAATAGCAATACATTCTCGCTCTCTGGTTGCAAGGGTATTCTGGCAGTTTTTTTTTCTTATTCTGGGAGATGTATTTATTTATTAAGGCTCCCTCTTTCAATGTTAGTGTATGGATTTTTGTATTTTTTTTTACTTGCAAGTCATGACGGAAAAATTATGGCTCATGTTGATGCTGCATCTGACACCACAGAAACACATACAGACGTCTGGATATACTCTAAACAGCATCAACAGTGTAACACAGCACCTCTCATTGCACACTGTCCGCTCTCTTTGCTTTAAATACAGTCAGGCTTTTAGTCATGGTGTGCATTCATCCTCACGATTCATGTAAGTGCAATTCAACCTCTTTTTTAATTTATTTATTTATTCATCTCTCCTCTTTTGAGTTGGACAGTTGTCCGCCCGAGACGGACGCAAAATATCATGTGTCATATCATTAGATTACCTTTCAATCACAGCGGTTTTCAACCCCCCTCACCTGCTGAAACTCTCCATTATGTCGGGGAGCAGGAATCGAATTGTGAAGCCTGATGCAGAAACACATTAGGCTGCTTATGTTTATTGCATACTCCATTGATTTTTACCATCTGAACTTTTGCACTCTGGGGTTATTCGAGTCTCCAGGATCAACCATTAATGAGCAGGAGTGTGTGTGCTAAATGAATACACATCCTGGAAGATTTTTCCATTTTACCCATTCCTTATTTTACATGTTAGGTTGTCATTTTTATGCTATTGGCTGTTTAACACACCTGAAATATTATCTGACAGAATGTGAAAAAATTTTACCTTCTGGGGCTTGTCACTGTGGAAGTGTGAAAGAAACAATTTTGTACCATATCTAGGTGCATATTAGCATCTTAGGGTAGTAATATGAACCCTTAAGGGGAGGTAAATAAGGTAGAAAGATGTCCCACCAGTGACTCGCTGTAATACCTCAAAGTCACAACTTTCACACATTTGTTTCTGATTGTATATATATATTATAAATATGCCTGTATATACCTATTCTATGTTCCCTCTATTTAAACAAATACTTCCTTGATTTTGTGCAAATCCACACTTCCATAAATTAATAAGACCCTTTTCTCACAATCAAGCAATTATGCTGTCAAAATACTCCTACAATGTTGTATAAACATGCACAGAATGATAAAGAATAGAGACTCTCTTGGGGGGAAAATCCACCCACACCCACCTAAACACATGTTATACTGACAGTTAATTTTTCAGTCTTCTTCCCAGAGGTTGACGGGATGTAATTAACCCAACCTGGGCAAGATACCAGATCTGTCCTGCCCTACATAACACACTCACTCGCCTGCCAAGTCCTCCAGCTTGAGGGATTCCCGCTGGACGGCACGAAAATTGTGACGACTTTCCTTTTTTCCAATTTGAAAGCCAATCTGTTCCTTAACCACCCACTTCCTTCGCCAGTGAAAGGACAAAACCCTCTGTGATGCTTTATTTCATGTTTCATGTTGGAAACAGAGCTAGTTGAATTGCTGGTAGCCTCATTATTGTTGTTCTGGTAGAGCAACATCCTGACCTTCACAGAGTCTCATCTGTTTGCTTTTTCTGCCCACCTGGACATTCCGGTAACGCTTATCTACAAAATTTCTACCCTAGGCAAAGTTTGTAATTACTTTCCCTGGCCGCTTACATCTCCTGGCCATCCATCATCCATTTTCCACCCGGACGTGAGCCGTGACATGCACAAGCAACCGTGTGCCTCAAAACGGAAGGAAATGTGACAATCCACACCAGTGGAACTTGTTGTCTAACCTCCACTACAGTAACGGTGCCTCCATCTGAACGTCTTACAGGGCAGAGTGAATAGATTTGTACGGGAGATGGCAAGTATGAAAAAGTGACTGCGATGAGTCACAGTCACAGTTAAGATTCTGGGAATGCGACGCACGGCGGAAAATCCTGTGATGGAAGAAACAAATATTTGAAAGAGAGATTACCGTTGCGGCAGCACAGAGAAAGATGTGGAAAAGGCAACGTAAACAAACCAGGTCTCATGGGGGAATAAGGAGAACATAACACAAAACAAAGAAAGAGAAAAAAGATAGAAAGAGAGAGCGAGCGTAATATGCTTTCGGAGCTGACACTACGAGAGTCAAGATGGAAATGGAAACCGTGGGGGTTGTGGAGGATATGCAGCCAGGGTGAAGATGTTAAAATGAATAATTAGATAACACAAACGGTACAAAATAACTCTCCTCTTCTGGGAGAAGACAAGATGGCCACCTGGCCCTTCAGATAGCACTAATTAGAGCATCCGTACGGCAGTGGAACGAGGATTGAGGACACGCTTAATTACACTTCAAGATCGTTCATGTTACACAACAAGAAAGGCAAACACCTTCAATGGGACGGAACCGTCATCCTCTCCGAGTGTATGTTCTTTCTATAAGACAGTTTGCATGTCTGAGGGTGGCAGGTGGGGGAGGAAGGGTACAGCTGTTATAGTTTCAGCCCAGGAATGAACCATTTGATTCAAGGACGCCGAACAACGGCAGGCAAACACACTGACATCTGGCAGCCCTATACTTATGTACACTAATTAAAAAACAAAACCAGCCATCAGTCGTACACTACGGCACCGTTGATAATAATTTACTCTCATTGCGACTGTCATCTCCAGATGTGTTGGGCTGTCTTCTCTAGCTAGGCTGAACGGAAGTAAATGAGGTATTATGAATCTCCTCCCCTGGTGGATCTCGCTCAAGCGTGATTTTCATGGCTCCTGTTGTATGCCGAGTGGAATTTTGTATCCAAATAATTAAATGTTAAAAAGCTGTAAAATCAATAAGTCGCATAAAAGCTTATATCATGTTCAGCTTTTATCCTCGCGGACTGAAGCCGAGGTCAATGAGGAGCGATAAAAACCTTTACTGAAACCGTGTCGGGACACATCTCTCTCTTTAAGTGCTTTGATCGCGAGTAATTTACAAGGCCAGACCGAGCTGATTTGAAGTTTAATTTGCACAGTTTAATCCTGCCAGGACAAGAGGAATTAGTCAGTTCTCTGTAAAGAAGTGCTGTCTTAAACCACAGAGTATTACTCAGCAGCATGGGCGATTGCCCCCCCAAATTGTGAGTCATGGAATCCCTGATGTCGGCCCTGCTACAATTGGAGCGCTTAGCCAAGCGCTAAATACCCTCAACGTGTTTTTGCAGCGTTGAGCAATGTAACCAATCACAGACATATCTGTTGATTTCTTGAATGCAATGGCCAATCAGAAACGTTTTGTCAGAATTCCCTCACCGCTGAAAGCACCGCAGTTTTTAAGTGCAGTTTTGCACACTCATGAATCATCTCATGACTAAGTGCAGACGCGATGTAAATAAGAGATTAATTGTGCAGTTTAGAGAGCTTAATTGATTATAACGGAACTTTGTAAGATCGCAATGAACAAAGATGAGTGACGCTTTTTAGTGATAAAGGGAGCGCGCTTTGCGCACTTTCTAGGGTATAATCCATTCAGAATGTGTATGAAACTTTCGTTTTTCGGACACATAGGCTACACCCTGCAAAGTTTCGGGAATGACATCAGCATATTTATGCGGGATTCACTCTCGAAATAGCAGTGATTGGCAATGGACGGAACATAAAATATGTTGATTTAATTCTGGAACCGGTCCTGGCCAAACCTCCACAGACAGCGCGCATCCCGAGCGAGGTCTAATTCATTGACCAAAAGCGTGTGTAAACTTTATTGAGATTGGGACATATCAACCAGTAATTTAATTTCATTTCCAGTAACGGACGGTAGAAAGTTCAGCAATGAATGAATGGTATGCGATTTATGTCAATATAGTCCCACAACTGATCGTTTATTTTTTCTTCACGGAAAAAGAGACGTGTCTCGCCTTTGCTAACAACGATTCAAAATGGAAACATTTCAAGTGACACGGGAAAAAGAGACGGAAAACTTCAGTGAACATCAGAAAATCAGCGTGCACATTTCTGGTTAAAAATGA